CCGCGATACCCTACTGTTTCATTTACCGAGAGCAAAGGGCTAAAGTTGCAAGCGTGGTGAGCTATATGGCGTGCGCGGGGACATTTTTGGAAAAAACAACAGATTCCTCTTTTGATCCAAACTTTTATGGAAATCAAATTCAACCTACTATTTATATACAAGGGACGGCCAAAACGAACCACCACATATCAAAATCCTATTTTTCACCACAAGAAGGAGGTTAGCACGGGATTCAAAGGCAATTAACACAAGAGATTGAATATTCAAAGTCCGAGTTGAAGAGTAATAAAGAAGAATTTGATTTTTCACTTTTCAATCATTGTTTTCACTTTCGAGTAATGTTTTTCCAAATCTTTTTGTGTGATTATTAGACAGCATGTTAGGCTAATTATTTTCATGTGTTGGATGAAGATAGAACATTTTATTAATTATTTTTAATTTAAGACAAGTAGTTACTTAAATTCTTGCGTTTCTTGATTAATCTTGCATGCATAATTTTATTATTTGATTGTCTGATCACCAATTAAATATATAGTTACTTATTATAGTGTTGAGAAGTTCACAATAGGTCTAGAAAAATGCTTGATTAACATACTTGAAATAGATATTAGGAATAATGTTCATCACGTTTACAATCTTTGAGATCATCGTGAAATTGAATGCGTTTTATTCATTCAAATTCGAACTATGAATATATTCGGATCTTTACTAGAATAGATCTAATTTGTCTTGAAAAGGAGAATTAATTACAATAGAATTATCGATTGTCAAAAATGTATGAATGAAACTAACTATGTAATAGAGAATTAAAATAGATAATAATATGTGGATTCATAATCCAATACATTCATTCCATATATGTACAAAACTCGAATTTTACGAATTTCCCTATGTTAAATTAGAATAATTATAAATCACAAATCTATTTTGTTCGCTTACTTTGAATCTGATTAGAAACTAGTACACTTTGATTGAATTTTATTCCCTTGAGACGATACACATTATTCATCACGTAATACTTGTCAATGATCCCGTATGCTTGCCGGTTTTGCACGACCATGTGCCCTTATAACTTTTGCCCATTTCCTTATCTAAATCTCTATAATTACAGCCTTTAATAGTGAAACACAAACACGGTTCATGTGCATTCCTGATTATCCATTTTAAGCATCTGAGTTTTGTACAGATGAATGATGTAATATTGGAGGTTATGGAATGGGATGCAAGGAATGTTCTCTGTGAAGCCGTGGAAAAGAACCATGCCTCTATTTTGGTTGTTGGTAGTCATGGACAGGGGTGAATCCAGTGCTCGAGTTCAGCTAGGGCGGACGACAAACATTGAACGCTTACGGTCAACGGTCAACGTCTGTGATAGCGGTGTTGTTTATTAATATTTAATTAAATAATATTCAAAAAATCGTACGGACTAGAACTAGAAGAACTAAATACACCACTAGAACTAGAA